TCCCCCTCCACAGAGCCCCGACTCACATCTCCGTGCGCTCCTGCCCGGCCTGAGCTGCGGAGGGGCAGCCCGCGGGAAGCCGGGGGGCGGGCAGGGAGGGGGGAGGAGGAGGAGGGAGCGAGGCAGTAGCGGGGAATAGAAAGCCGGGCTGCGAACGGCCTGGCACCGGACCAGGTCCGCGGCGCCCGATGTCTGCTGCCCTCTGCTGCCGGGTCCCGGTCCGCGAACAAGGCAGTGGCGTGGGGGGGCTGTCCTGGCCTCGCCACGCAGAGCCGAGTTACCTTTTCTGGGCGAGGAGGCAGCAAAACGATTGTTAGAGACCCCTCCGAGGGTTTGATCTGCAATCCAGTGGCTGCTCTGACTTTGTTCCCCGCGAAAATATCCTCCTAGGAAGTCCACTCCCAATCCTTCTGGGCTGTTTTCTGGTATAGAAGACCAGAAATCTTATAGTCTTCCCAAATTGATTTAAACTTAAAAAAAAAAAAAATCAAACCATCAACCCCTCCAAGTTTTCTCAATTCCGGCCTGCTGAAGAGCACTTCTGAGATTGTTTTGGGGTGGGAAGGGAACTGGGATCTTCTTCAAGGAAAGCAAAAACCTCAGGCACTTGAGTTAAATAAATATTAAGAAAAATGAGAAAGTCTACAGAATTAAAAGCATTCTAAGAAAAAAAAAAATCCCTTTTCAAGGACCCTTCTTGCTGTTTCTTCTGCAAGAATTTTTACAAAAACCAAGATAGATAGATAAGGCCCTCTATTTAACGGGGAAATGAGAAAATATAGCTACTTACAAACCCATTTCAGGCTTTTAACAATGTAGTGCCCAAGACATATATTGTGTGTCCCCAGCTTTATGAAGTTCAAAATTTCTTGGCTTTCAGACTTTTGGTGTAAGAGATAAAATGCCATTTTGGTGTTTTTCCTTAGAATTATGGGTGGCTTCAGAGAAGTTAGCAAGTGTCTTGCATTGAAATCACAGGAAGTAATTCACAGCTACAAAAACATGTGGAATGAAGACGAAAATAGTGCTAAAAAGAATGAAGAAAGCATCTCTGGGATATTTATGGAAGTGTACTACAGAATCTGCTCATCAAACATCTTTGAATTATTATCTGAAAAAGATCACATAAACATGCAATTAGTGCCTCTGTAATAACACCATATGCCCCCATGTAGCAGACATAAGATTGAGTGAGGGGCATTATCCCAGTACTTCTGATGTCCAAATATGCATGATGAACACACTTGGGCAGGATCACTGCTTTGCTGTGTCATGCCAGAGTGGGTTCTGCTGGCTTACTGTCTCATGAGAAGGGAATCTTTTACTCAGAAACCACATCTGGAAAGTAGCTAGGAAATACTGGAAGCTATTGTTTGAGAGATCTGGTATGAGCCAGTCACCAGTGGGAAGAGTGTTCCCTGGCAAAGCACAGGCGGACAGAGGTGCCTGAAGATCATTTGTAAGGAAGCTGATAATTTCACTGTGTCCTTGACAAACAATCTTATGAGTATCCTGTGACACTTTCAAGGCACATCTCCCATGTCTTCATTTCCTTCTCCCACCCCAACAACATAATCTGTGATAACAGGAGAGTACTTCAGCTGGTGAAGCAAGGGTGATTAGCTGGGAATACGCCTAGCCGGAGCAGCCCACCTCTAACACATGTCCCATAGACCCACCTGATTTAGACAATACAGCTGCATCCTCAGTCTTGCTCCAGTGCTCCCACTGGTGGCGTTCCCCTTCAGATGCCCTGTGCGATCTTCATGTGAGATAGGCGCCAGGTAATACCCGGGTACCAAATTTTCCTCGGGAGGATGATGTTTGTGCTTTTCTGTGCTTAAGAGCAGAACTCATGTAGGACCATGGAATACATGTAGGAACACGGAATGCCAAAACTAGTACCTGTTTGCAACCTCCTTGACTCAGCTGGTGACAAGTGGTCTGGACAATAAATCCAGACAATATCAGAGTAAAGTAAAGAAACTGCAGATCTTCAGCATGGTCAAAGGTGCCAACATCCTCTCATGGAGCATGACTCCTACTTTGAATACAGTGTGTTGCAGGAAGTAATTAGAAAGAAACCTGCTCTACAGCCTCAGAAGCAACGAGATTATCCTCTGAAATGCAGACCAGACCCTTTCATCCACTGAGAAGAAGAGTTGGATACTTTACCCTCAGACCTGAAGCAAGGAGGACAGAGAACTACCTCTGTTTGGCCTCCTACACCACCTACCCTACAGCACACCAGGGCCATAGACTCAAGCTCCCTGTAAACACTGAGTTGCTTTCCCAGGGCACTCTACCTTCAACCCCCTTGGCTGACTACCCAAAGTACCCAAATGCTTGGTTTGAGCCATTTGGGGACACTCTGCCACTAGCCATTGGGCTTGGGCTTCACACAGCCAGGTCTGTGCTGTCAAATGGCTCAGACAAATCATGCCACTCCTGCAGCTCTGGCTGATATGGAGAGGATGACCTAGACCAAAATAAGGTTCTTAAAAGACTCTTAAGAGTGGGTCTTTCCCCTGATATGAGAGGGTGAGCAGCTACAGCATCTTGGTAATCTGCTTCTGTGTCTTCTAAATCAAGGAACAAAGCCAAGTGTAATACCCCAGGAGGTACACAGTTCTGCTGCATTACCACTCAGCATGGAGCATGAACAAAGACAGTGTCATCCCAATATCACACTTCATCCCCTGCCTTGCACTGGCACCTCATTTCCCACAGGTTCATGTCTCAGGAATATAGTAATGTTGCATAAAGTCACCATCTGACTTGGGCATCACACCTACAACATGATTACAAAAGAAAAAACAATGAATTACTAGTTCTGGTAGTTACTATCTGAAGCTCTAGAATAGGTTGGAGTACTATCCCTTCTGATTATTATTACTGTGGACCACATCAAGTGTGTATGATTCTTATCTATGGCTCTGGCACAACCAGATGCTTCCTGAAGAAGAGAGGCTGTTGCGGATATATGATAGCTGGCAACCAGTCAGAAGCAATCTACTCAGCATGTCACCTCACAGGCTTGCATGACAATTACATGAATGGTTGGCAGGCCAGTGGAAGAGTCTGGCTAATCACCCGAAGGCAATAGCTGTCTGCCATCCAATCAGAATGTAGGCTCCAGCTTGTGGTCCAGGACCTGAAATGAGTTGATTACTTGTTGATCACACAGTCTGGAAGATACCAGCCTGGACATGGTGAAGTGAGCTTGGTATTGGGGATCAGAAGCAGCCCAGAGGGGCTCTTGTGGTATGGAAGAGTGCGAAGAGGGTGACAGCTGAACCAGCTTCAGCTGCTGTTAGTCAAAGCTCTGCCTTTTGCAACTTCATGATACAACGAAGATCACGCAGAGGCTCCCTGTGATAGAATGATGGATTGAGGAGGTCTGCACAGAGCAGATAAATGACATGCTGGATGGCATGGCTACGGTTGCTCACTGGTTTGATTGTGGCAGTCTTGTCCTGTGGATATTGACAGAGTGCTCCCATCTCGTATGTCCTCAGAGACAACTGTGAAGAGCCAGAGGTTGACATTGTAGGCACAGCTGCAGCTCCCCAACCCTTTACTTATCACATGTTCTGAAGTAATGCTTTTCTCATGGCACTCAACTTTGCAGTTCCCTGAAAAGAAGCTCTTCAGAAAAGACTATTTTTAAATGAGCTGCTGGAGGGGGGAAAATGCATTTTCTCAGCTTGAAAAGGATCTGTATTTTCAAAATCTGCCAATATCTTGGTTCTCTGTGGTGTCAGCAGCAACACATTTTTGCGTCCCCACCCTTTAATCTTTTGTTGGGGGTAATCACAAGGATTGTTCAGAAACAACTGCATGTGGGCTCGTGCCCACCCCATGAGGTGTCATCATTAAAGGACATCTCTCTCTTTGTCCCTGTTCTGGCTTTATCAGGGTACTTCACCTCCTTTGGTTTTGCCCCTTGGTCTCCAATTCCAGACAGCTGTGAACCAGGGGAGCTGTGATGGTCATGGGGAGATGCTACCAAGAATGCCAGAGGGAGTGTTGGGGCTAGAGGGCGTAGCCATGGTTTCTTACCCAGGAAAAGAGCCTGAGCCTTCCTCACCCATGGGACCTTCTCAGGAGTGCAGTGAACATGGGTGTAGTTGCTCCAGCCCTCAGATTTCACAGCATTAAATAAGAATACCTGACTCTGAAGGAGAAGTGCTGTTTTCTACCCATCCAGCTTGAGGATCTCAAGAAGTTGTGGCTACCCCACATCTGGAAGTGTTCAAGGTCAGGTTGGAGGGGGCTTTAAGCAACCTTGTCTAAGGGGAAGGTGTCACAGAATCATTTAGGTTGGAAAAGACCTCCAAGATCATTGAGTGTAACCTTTGACCGATCACCACTTTGTCAACTAGATCATGGCTCTAAGTGCCATGTCCAGTCTATTCCTGAACACCTCCAGGAATGGTGACTCCACCACCTCCCTGGACAGTCTCTTCCAATGCTTGACAACCCCTTCCTTGAAATTCTTCCTGAATTTGTCCCTGCCCATGGTGGGGGTGTTGGAACTAAATGATCTTTAAGGTTCCTTCCAACCCAAACCATTCAGTGATTCTGTAATGCCGGGACTCCAAGAAAAATGTGGCACCCCTGGAAGACAGCAGGTGTTGGTGGCTGCCGAAGAAGGGGCAGCCTGAGCCACCCTTGCCCACTCGGGCACCGACCCCCGCATCCCCGGGGAAGCTGGAGGGCAACGCGGGGTTCGGCTGCGGCGGGGGCGGCAGGAAGGGCGCTGGAGCTGCGGGGGCCGGCCCGGCCGTGGGGCAGCCCCTGCGCCGCTCCTCCCCAACTGCTCTTATTCTGAAAGGAGCCTCCGTGCAGCCGGCGGCCCATCGCCTCCCCCCGCCCCGGCCCATCCCGCTCCCCGCCTCCCGCTCCCCGCTGGCCCGGCCCCGCCGTGACCCCCGGCCCGGCCCGGCCGCTGCTCGGCGGGGGGCGAGGCACAAGAAAACACACTGCTCTGGGGGAACTCGGCTCGCTCGGGTCTTGTTTCGTTTTCTTTCTCATACTGAGGAGCGAGGGTCCCGTCCGGGCATCCCTCCGGGGAACGATCACTTCACCTTCTGGAAAACTTGGACGCAGATCTCATCTTCAGCAGTCATGCGCTGGGGAAAGCGGGGTAAAAGAGGAGTTTAGCCTAGATTCTCTCCTCTCCCTCCCCAGCTGCCTCCGCTGCAGTCCTGCCAGCCCTCCTGCTGCTGGCTGGAGCCTCACAGACCACACGCTGCACAGCCGACCCTCCCAAAACCTCAGTGGGTCCAGCTCCAGAGTAGGGAAGGGACATTGCCTTTGTTGACCTGTTTAACTTTTGAGTTTAATTTTTAAATCCTGGAGGCGGATGTTTGTGTGAAGTGGTGGCTGTTCCCGGGGAGCTGTGGATGAAGTCTGAGAGGAGCTGGAAGGAAGCTGCAGGGCTGGCTCAGAGCCCACAGCACCCGCACTGTGTTCCCCCCACCCGCCACAATTAGGATTTATGAAGTTGTGCTGGACCCCTTCTCACCAGATGCAGCTTGTCCCCCTCCAGCCAGTGCCTCCAGCCTCGGTTCCTCTTCTCTCCTAGCTGCTCACACACCAGCTGATCCCCCTCCCAGGAGACAGTTGTCTGAAAAAAAGGAGGAAAGGAGAAGACACAGTCCAGAGACAAGTGGATCTTGGCAATACAGGTTCCCAGAGATGTCACTGGCTGTTCCTCTCAGACACAATTTCAAATGCAGTCCCTGATCTGGTGTCTCTTTAGTGGCTTCTTGGGACTGATGTTTTCCGTGGGAGGTGAATGACCCTCTGGCTTCCAAGTGCAACAACAGAGTTCCACCAAGTGGGCTGACATTCTGTCTTTTCAGGGCTTTGCTCCAAAGGATAATATCCTCTCGGTCCCAAAGTACTGGCTTTCTGGCTCTGTAGTGATCATCCCCCTTTGCTGTGAGTAATTTACTCATAGAATCACTTACTCCTGGACCTGCAGGGGCATGCCAGCTCTGGGCTGGGCTCTCATCTGGTTTTTGAATCAAAAGCTGAGCAAGTCCCTGAACTTCTAGCACACCCCAGTCCTCTGTGAAACTGCACTTCTTGGGTTTCTCACCTGGCATTTGCGTCCATCCACAGGTCCCAAGTCTTCCTCAAACTGGACTCCCAGGTCAAAATCCATCACGTAGTCCCTCAGGGAGGTGATGGTGCGGATGACCATGTGATCTCCCGTGTGAATGATTTCTTTGTCAGGCTTCAGTAGGCAAACCAGTTTTCGCAGGACCACGTTTATATCTGAAGGACGAGAGGGAGAGAAGATGTGTGGACGACCTGGTCCCTTCCTCCAGGAGAGCTCCTCCACTGTTAGCCAGAGAGCACCAGCCATGGTACCTCCTTCCCCCTACTAGCACAGCTCAAAAGTGATGGTCACAGACAGAAGGACCAGAGGGTTCCCAAATACCTTCCTCCGCTTCCCAACTCCTGACTTTTTGGAGATAGAGGGGAGCGTTACGTGGAGGAGGGAGCGTGGTGGGGAGGGTGGCATTACCTAAAGCGCGCAGGTAATTGTCCATGTTCTCCTGGGAGACGAAGCGGTAATAGCCGGTGAGGTTGGGAGGCATCCTGGGGCAGAGGGACGGGGCGGACGGTGCGGAGGAAAGAGCGCAAGGAGCAGGGCAGACGGGCAGCCGGCACAGAGCTGGCTCGCAGGGCGGCCCGGACCCTCTCCCGCGGGGAGGGGAGCTCTGCGGGGCGGCCCGACTCCCGGGCTCCCCGCCGCAGTAAGAGTCCCCATGCCGGGGGGCGCGGAAAGGGCGGGACGGCCCCTGCTCCAGCATCTCCGCCTCGGCTGGGCAGGACGTAAGGATGGCAGGTTGCTTCCTCACCCTCCGCGCTCCTCGGGGGCTGCTCGTATTAATAAAATCTGGGCTTCCAACCAGCGGCAAGGAACACTTCCCGCCGGCCCTTTCTCACTCCCTTAACACCGGTGGCTGCGAGCTTCCTCGGAGCAGTGCCCCGGCCTGCGCTCCCCCCACGCCCGGACACCCCGTCGAGGAGAGGCGGCGGCAGGCTGGCGGGTCCGCCCTGCCGAGCTCGACCTCGAGCCCGAGCCCGAGCCCGAGGTCCGGATGCGGTCTGCAGCCCCTCGCTCCCGCATCCTCTGATCCTCACACCCCTGCACGTCCCTTGGCAGCCGCCTCGGTTTTGAAGCCCCCCCACCTTCCCAGGCGCGCTCAGCACTCGCCCCTCTCCGCGCCCTGCCCGGACCGCAGTGGGAAGGCGCGGAGCGGCTCCCGCGCCCCGCCCCGCATCCCCATCCCGCAGCACCTGGCGCGGCGGCCCCGCGCATTGGCTGCCGCCCCCCGCCGGCCCGTGACGTCATGCTGCAGTGCGGGGCGGGGCCGGGCGGGGCGCGGAGCGCGGTGCGGGAGGTGCCGGGGGTGCCGCCGTCCCTGCGCGCCGCCGCCGCGGGAGCGAGGGCGTGGGTCGCGCCGGGACCCGCCGCCGCCGCCGCGATGGGCGACCCTCGGCCCCGCGCCGCCGTCCTCCTCCCTCTGCTCTGCCTCTGCGCCGCGCTGCCCGGCAGCGCCTCCAACAAAGGTGAGCGGCGGAGCGCCGTGGGCACGGTCCCAGGCGGCGGCGGCGGCGGCGGCGGCGGCGGGCGCTCCGCTGGAACCCCTCGGTCGCCCCCCGCGCCGGGGCTCTGGAGGGGCACGTTGGCACGTCCGCCCCCGCGGTAGCGGTGAGGCTTCGCGCTGCCCGCCGCCTTCGCCCAACACGTTTTCGTTGCGGCATCTTCGGCATCTTCCGGCGGCTTTGGCGTTCTTCGCCCCTTCGGGCGTCCTCATGCCATGCCATCCCATCCCCATTCTCTACTTTCTCCATCTGTCATCCTACCACCGCGTTTTTCTCCGTTCTTTCATCTCCTTCTAGCGTTCCCTTCGCATTTTCCCCTTTTCCATGCACTTGTCTTGATTTTGTTTAGTTATCGCTTTGTGGATTTACGTTCCCTTCCCTTCCCTTGCATGCTGAGAGAAAATATGTTTCTCCACAGACCCCTGCGATCTCTAAAACACATCTCCTATCTCCACCTTCCAATCCCAGTTCATCCATCTACAGTCTGTCAATAGGAATTATTTTACAGTTATGTGTTAAGGATGCAGGTTGCTTATATAAAAGAATATTTTATGTGATAAAGATAAAAGAAAACCCAAACCACCCCAGTGCTACAGCTGTAATGTTCTGAATGCAGATGTTCTTTGAGCACGTATAGTGATGTACAAAGATGTAGGTTTCTAGATCTGTGGCTGTAGAGACAGGCATGAGAGATTCATCTGAGGGGAGTCAGTGCGTCGGTAATCTGACAGGGTGGGGGAATCTGCAAACATTTAAGGTCTTCAGGGGTCATCAGGGAATGTGACACCTTAGGGTGCTTCCCGTGCTTTGGAAGAGGTAGGGCTACAGGGCGGGTGCACCGCAGAGCTGTGTGTACATTGACATTGGCAGGGGCATTTATTTGCACTGCTCTGGTTCCATGCGGCCCGGTGGCAAGGAAAGGCCCCTCGTGCTCTGGATTCTCTCTCTCCTTTGTGAATTTGCACTTGGAAACATCTACCCACCTTTGGCAAATTTTTTTACATTTACAGGAGCTTTCTTGAAGCTGGTAGGAGTCCATATCCTAAAAATATTCCCGAAATGTTTTTCTATTCTCCAGCAACTCATTTCCTGAGAAATCAGATTGGTGATTCCCAAGTTGCAGGTGGATGCAGCAAAGGATTTATCTCTCTACCATCAGCTTGTTACCCCAGCAACAGGGCACATTTGGCATTTATAGCTATGGATTTCCACCTCGGTGGTGTGGCGCATGGACTAGAGCCGTAGAGAATGGAAGCTGGAGGGGACAATGGAGGGGTAGGGGGAGACGTGGGCACTTGCATACAGGGAGGATTCCACCTGCATACTGAGCAGGATGGATGTTTCTCTGGGTTTCCTACGCAATGCTTTATAATCTCAATCAATACGGTGATGGAGAAGTGCCAACCCACACTCTTCGCTGCTACGCCAGGCTGGGTCTGCCCACTCTGCCCTGCTGGGGACATCCCCACTCTGACCTGTCACCCTGCCTGCTGGCCCACCACCCACCTCTGGCAGCATTCCCTGGCCTTGGAGTGCAGAAGGGCTTGGTTGTTCAGGATACTGCCCCTCTTGAGTCAACACATCAGGCCATGCCAATACGGCATTTCAGAGGACACTGTGCTGCAGAGAATGGGTTCACATATTAGAAGTAGTGCCCTTGAGGGGAATGGCTCTGTATCCTACTCTCCACCAGCTCTAAGCCATGCTATGCTCAAAGTATTGCTGGGTTGTAATAAACCTTGGTCTCCAGGGGGTGGGAGAGTGGGGGATTATCTGGGAATAGGGGTTGTAACTAGGCCATGTAATATAATCTCTGAGGCCCATTTGGCAGGGAGTGGGCATGGGGGAGGGGTTTTTAATTTGTAATGATTTTTTTTTCTCTCTCCCCTCCCTTCCCTCCCCCCACCCCTTTATTTCTCCCTTTCCCTGCCCCGGAGCCTGTGTGATAAAGATTAATTTGCTATTTCTGGGCCTGTGACATTTTTCAGAGCCTCCTGCTGGCTGCTGCCTCCATGCCAAGCCTGGCTGGGCTCCAGCCAACAGGATTAGCAAGGAGGGGCCAAGGGAATATGGTGCTCACCATGGAGTGGGGAAGGAAGGAGCAAGGCACTCTCAGAGGAGGTTATTATGTGCATAGGATGTCTGACTGAAAGTGTACCTGGGTATATGTGTGTAGGTCCTGGGCCTTAGTCTAGAGGATGCACACACAAGTAATAATGGCTGCATGCAAGACTTGTCCCCTGGGAACACCCCAAGGGAAGATGTAGCCTAGATCCTTTAATTATGGCTTCATTGAGCTAAAGGATTTAGCATTTGGAATATGTCTCCAGGGTCAGGCTACTTCTGCCTCTGGAGTTCACTTTCTTTTTTAACTACTCCAGCTTTCCTGGGCACCCATATGCCTCTCTACATATTTCTGATAAGATAGTAATGAGGAGACCAGAAGGAACATGTTGTTTCTAATGAGTCTCCCAAGAGCAGAACTAAATAAAGATAACTTCTTCCTCCCAGCCTATTTTAGACTTCTTTATTTCCGTAGAAGAAGGTGGGGAGGGGTGGTTGTTACTTGCCACTGGATAATTTTCTGCTTGTTTTCCACTGAATCTGCCACTGGTGGCTAATACATTCCTGTCCTCCATCCCTTGCCCCAAATCCACTTCAGCAAACAAGCACAAACCCTGGATTGAAGCCGAGTATCAGGGCATCATCATGGAGAATGACAACACAGTCCTGCTCAACCCACCACTATTTGCTCTGGACAAAGATGCTCCACTGCGCTATGCAGGTAGGTGGATAAGAGCTCTGAAAGGGTGGGAGGTAGGGAAAGACTTATGAAGAGGCAGAGACAGGGTGACATTCATCCCTGTGCTGGATCCTAGCTCTATCCAGGAAACGATCACCTCCAGACCTTGTTCCAAAGGAGGTCCCTAGTGAAGTCTGGAGGCAATTTGGGCACAGCTTGATTTAGGATGCTGTGAGCTGTTTCCTTAGGGAGAGAAATTGAAGGTGGAGTCAGCTACTTTTTGACGCAGTTCTGCTATTTCCAAAGATCACATGCACAGCGCTGTGTCTGTGAGCCCTGGAGAAAGCTGGTAGGGCACACTTGGTTGGCAGTGCTACATCCCCTCACAGTAAGCACAAATGCCTGTTACAACAGATGAGGTTTTACAAGGGTTATATTCCTAATGCTTGCTTAGGCCATGCCTGGAGCTTCCTCACACATCCTCTCGCAGCTTTGGGAGAGGAAAAGTGGTCCCTCTGAGCTGAATTTTAGGATTTAGTGACCCTATCTGCAGTTCCCTGCGGTACTCTGCGCCTCCTGCATGTGTGGGTGGATGAGACATCATGGATCTACATGCTCTGGCTGTCTATTTGCAGTATATGGCCTGTTTTACCTCACTGAGGGCTGCAAAGGAGAGATAAGGTGCTCCCTCAGGACTGTGGCTGTGTAGCACTAACACATGTAGTTTGAGCCTTGTAACCTCTAATCCTTTGTGATGCTGGTCAGTGCTCCTTGCCGTGGGAGTAGTCTCCAGTAGATGGCAATCTGCACCATTAATGGCTGTAGGGGATAGTAGGAGGAACTCCTAGTGAACTAAAAATTGTTCAAAATGAAGGGTGATAATGAGGAAGAATGGAGAGTGCAAGTTAGAAAGGAAGAAAATATGGAAAAGGAAACCAAGGGGTCTGATGTGCTCTCCTCAGTTCTTTTCTTTCTCCCCTTCTTCTCTGCTTTTGTGTGTACCAGGTGAAATCTGTGGCTTCAGGATTCATGGGTCAGGGGTACCTTTTGAAGCTGTGATCCTGGACAAAGCCACAGGTGAAGGGCTCATCCGGGCCAAGGAACCAGTGGATTGTGAAGCACATAAGGAGCACACATTCACCATCCAGGCTTATGACTGTGGAGAGGGACCTGATGGAGCAAATACCAAGAAATCACACAAGTAAGTTCATACAGACATTGCTGCATGTTACAAAGTGTAATCTGTCACAGAAACACAAAGGAAAGTTGCTGTGGAAACACTTTCTTTAGCCAGAAGTATTTTTCTCTATCCATGATACTATAACTCAACATGTTAAGAAGACCCAAAGAAAAATATTCATTGACTGTTACATGA